AGGGGACGCTAATGCCTGGGTCAGATTACACGATTTTTTTGTCTGTTAGGATAGTCACTGTGTCAGATTACGCGATTTTGCCTCCTAAAATCTTGTTGTGTCATGGACAAGAAACATGTCAGACTACACATTGCTTCCTGACCAGTCATTGCGTGCCGTCTTTAACGGTGCGCGCGATGTCATCGAGAAGGCGAAACTAGTTGCGAGTGACTTCCGGAAACGAACGTAAACAAACAATGGATGAAGCGGTGAGTGTTGGCTGTCCTGTGTTCAGAAAAACGTAAAAAAAAAAAAAAAAGAAAATCCGACAATGGACACGTTCCTGGATTGCTCGAAGAGGACAGTATGGGCTGTCAATCCTCCAAAGAGAACTTGAGGTAAAATATTGTTTTCTGTTACTGTTGCCACAGCTCCACGAACCTTTCCTCCATGTCATAACTCCACCTAGTAGAACCAACCTCTCTCTTTCGTTTCGCCATTTTTGAAAGTTGTGCACGGAAAAGCTTCTGTGCTCCCATTGGTCAACCTCATACATGTGACGGAACCCGTCGTGGACGACCGTTCAAAAAGTCTTTCTCAAAGCTAGTCTTTTTGTCGTGATGTTGTGAACACTATACGAGATGATACGATCGAATCTTGTGTCCTGACGCCCGTTGTCGTTTACGAATCCTCACGACACCCTACGTCAAACGGATCGTGCCAAAATCGGGCTAAAATCGTGTAATCTGAACCAGGCATAAGACCCATCAATCTGTGGCATAAACCCACGTGGACTAGACTTCATGTCCAGCACTGACTCAGACAGCAGTGTAACGACTGAACACATGCGGGAGACAGCCGTGCCCACATCATGCGAGAGTCTGGATCCACGCCAAGAAAAGTCGTTTGCTGACATGGTAGCAACACACTCTTTTGAAGGCTTATGAGTAAACCCAGGCTCCTCAAATGACTGAGTACCAAGTCTCGGTGAACTATTGCCAAATCCTGAGATTGAGCTAATATCAGCCAATAATCCAGGTAGTTCAAGATCCGGACAACGGGGCTAGAGCCGCGTCTATAGACTTTGTAAATGTTCTGGGAGCCAGAGCCAGTCCGAACGGAAGAATGCGGTATTGATAAGCTTTGCCCTCGAAAGCGAACCTAAGGAATTTCCTGTGTCTCTTGACAATCTGGATGTGGAAGTACGCATCCTTTAGATCGATGATCACAAACCAATCTCCGGTTTGGATATGAGACAAAATGGACTTTAACCACTCTGACCACAAGGTTTAACTGACGTAAGTTCAAAATCAGATGCAAACCATCATCCTTTTTGGGCACAACAAAATAACGGCTGTAAAAGGTGGACTCCATCTGAGCGGGGAGTATTTATTTTATAGCCCCTTTCTCTAAGAGTGACGAAATTTCCAGACTCAAAGCCGAGACCTCCCAAGGACGCACCGTTGTGGGAAGGATCCCGCCAAAAGGAGGTGGGCCTTTCCTGAATTGGATGGTGTAGCCGTAACACCCATTGTGAGATCTCGGGCAGGTGCTACCATGCTACCAAGTACTCTGCAAGGGGCGTTAACCGCTCTATTTTTGGATCCTGCCGAACTGCCAGCACAAGTACATTCACTGATTCCAGAAAGCCTCTGGCGTCTGTAGAAACAGGAAGTACATGTGGAGTGACCACGGCTGAACTTTTTGTTATAAACAGGTTCCCCTAAATAGGGCCCCGATGCACATAAGTAGTGGGAACCTCTGAAACAGGAAACTGTCCACGTTGAACGTGGGGGCTTTGAACACCGTCATAAAAAGGCCATGCGCACATGACCCTAGGGCTTTTCCCCGAAATCCAAAACCTGGAACGCGCGGAGTGATTGAGACGTTGCTCGTCGAGAGGGCTCGGCCTAAAACCGCCCGAGACGCAATCTGCGGTGGGACAGTTAAGACCGGAACCAGGAGGCCACAATGAGAGATGAATACGCTTGCGCGGTTTGTTCAAACTCTCCAATGGAGGGCCTGGCCTCCGAGGACAAGTGAAGGAATCAGGAACTGCTTTTGGGGACCCGAGGACGAGAGGCCTTGGCCGTTGAACTCAGGTCTATCTGTCTGCGTTGCCGCGAGCGAACCGGTGGACGAGTCCTAGGACTGCGAGTGGGCTCCATAGGCGATGGCTAACTTCGATGCACCTCACGGGGGCGCTGTAGAGAAGACGACCGCGAACGAACTGGAGCTGTTTGCCGCTTGATCTCCCTAGACCTGCATGGGATGAGCTGGTGAAAAACAGCAGATTGCTGTTTCGATGCCCGAAATTTCTCCACCACAGCAGTCACAGACTCACCAAATAGGCTATCCTTAGACATGGGGGCATCTAACAGGAAAGTCTTATCCTTTTCTTTATTGTCAGTAAGAGTGAGCCAAAGATGGCGCTCTACTGACACCATTCCCGCCATGGAGCTGTTTGGTAGGTCTAAGCGCCAAGTCAGTAGCCCGTCTGAGCTCCTTAACAGCCTCTGGAGTCAGGCCCTCTCCTTCATCCAGCTCTTGAACCAAGTCTGCTTGATAAGCTAGGAGCACAGCCATAGAATGAAGAGTGGCAGTGCCTATCCAGCGGCAATGTAAGATTTTCCAACCAAAGTGGAAGTAATCATGGTTTGGATGACCACAGGGGCTGTGACTTCCAAGTTGGAGCCGAAGTCGGCGCGAGATGGGCCGCAACTTTGAGCAGCATCGCCGACGTAGCCGCACTCCGCCATATTAGATACAGTGTCGTAATCAGCGGCAGCGGGATTAGTAATACGCGCTGAAAAGGGCAGCTTACAAGACTTTAAAACCTCCGGGTGGAGGTCTTGGAAGAAGGGGAGAGGCTTATGGGGTTGGGCTGGGGTGCAGCTGGTCAAAAATCGGTCGTCCAGCTTCGACTGGGTCTGATTTTGAGCGCTGCCTCATTGTAGCCGCAGCTTGTACATTGTACAGCGCGAGTAACAACGACTAATAGCTCACTGTATGACGGGGAAGTGCGTTTCTCCTGTCCGCTTGGAGGAGGGAACTGCACAAATCGCCCTCTGAAACGTCCTGTGAAATCCCTGCTTGCAAAGTCCGTTGCTGAAATCCGTTCAGCACAATCCTCTAGTTCGTTATTATTGTCAGGGTCTGAATCGGGCTCGAAATGGTTTGAAATTGACGCCATCTTTAATATTTACATCTGAGTAGAGCTTGTGGTTATGAAGGGGCGGGACATTTCCCGAACATGCGCTAAGTGCTGCCAATCACAACACACTGGGCCAGCTAGCCAATCACAGCACACTGGGCCAGCTAACCAATCACAACACACTGGGCCAGCTAACCAATCACAGCACACTGGGCCAGCTAACCAATCACAGCACACTGGGCCAGCTAGCCAATCACAGCACAATTCGTATTTCAGATGGAGGGGCTTCATCGAAAACTACGCGTTCAACCAGAGAGAGGAGCTGTAATAATGTAAAATATGTGAAAAATAATGCGTTATTTTTTAACAATCAAGCATGAAAACATTTTCTAGTACACCCCAAAAACAAAATCAAGACTTTGTAAAAGGGCCTAATAGGACCCCTTTAAACCTGTTAAATGAAAATAGAAGTGGGATCACAACATTTATTGGCTCAGTTTAGTGAAACTTACTCAGTTCCCTCTTAATGTTTACTTCCTCATTGTAAAATTAATTCTGCTATAATGGTTTCACTTTTATGTCACCTGACAAGTCAAGGAAGAGTCTAAAAGTTAAAAAAGACAATAAAGTATTTAGAACAAGGATACTTTTCGTGAATATTGAATCTAATGTTTTCAATTTCTATTTTTCAATTGTTTATTTGAATATATAAAGGCAGCTCTCCACATGTTGTCTGTTAACTTTCTCACAACTTGCTCCCTCTACTGGCTACAAGTGGACTATTTTAACAGTGTGCTAGCTAGAACCATGGCTAGAACCATAGGGCTAGAACGTGTGAAGCAAAGATCTAATTAGCAAGAATGAGCAATAAAAAAAAACAAAACATGAATACTTAAAAAAAATTATTAATATAATAATAATGTGGGTGTGAATTATGTGAAACTTACAATACTAACAGAAATCAAACCTATCAAAAACCAGGATTCTAATAGGTTAAAAAAACCCACTTCTTAAAGTGGAATGGTTAATGTAAATCCAGTATTCAAAAAGCTGTTTGCGGTCTTAGTTTTCAGTGATAGTCACATGACTAGAGGCTGGTCTGTCAAACCCTAAGGTATATAAGCAGTAGGCTTTTTTTTATTAAGTTATTCAGAATTCTCTGCTTTTATAATTTTATTTCTTATAAATTATATTTTTACTTATGCATCTATTGTGATTTTATGAATATTCATTTTCTATGTAAAGAACTTTGCTTTCATTGTGTATGAAATGTGCTTTATAAATAAACTTGCCTTGTCTAAATTATTAATAATTTATTGCCATTGTGTGAAAAATATGTAATCAGTCAAAAGTAGTCTGATTGCAAGTATTTTAAAATGTAATGTAATCTAATTACAAGTACTTATTTTTTGGAATCTGATTATACAATCCAGATTACAATAGTTATATATGATTGTTAAATTTGTCTTAATATGAAATATAGGCTACACTTAATATGTGGTCTTAAATGAAGAAATGCATGCTTGAGCTACAAGGCAATAAGTGCTAGTGAGAAACTGACTTTGATTTTTATATTTGACCCTGAACTTACATCCAGCATCTAAGATTTAGGTTTTAATAATAACCAAAAAATCATTCCATCCATACAGAACATTTTAATGATATATTATGATGTGACATAAATTGTTTAAATACACTACTGCAATATAATATAAATTTAAAATAATCATGCTTGATAATGACAAATATTGAGAGTGAAACAATGGGACAGACCCCACAAATAATTTTGTGTCTGGGCTCTGCTCACTTTAAATCCTGACGTGACGTCATTTTACGCCACGGGAACTGCTTGGATCCCAAACAGTCCCACCTCCACCACGGCTCTGAATCTGATTGACAATAATGGCGACGCGATCGTCTTGAGTTGCACCTCAATGAAACATCTCGCAAGAGCGCATTTCACCAATCCTTTGTCATTACCTGGACTTAAAGATCGCTTTTAAGGATATCTTGCAGAAATGATCTCCGGATCCTTTTCGATCAGGAAATACTAAGTTCTGCCGCTGGTGTCATTTTTGGGAAAGCACTAACAAAGGTCTCTTCATCCGTGGCGATGTGGTTGCTGTTTACAGCCCCGTGCGTGCATTTGTTTCGGGCATGAAGAAATGCGATTACTTCACCTACAGCCATTCATTTAGCAATCCCGTTTCCATTAAAAACCGGGAAGCCTTGGTGATAGTGGATTAGCTGCACTGGAAGCTCTTCTGCTGCCGTTTGCAGGTTTTCACGGACAGCGGCTCGCGCAGACCTTCGGGATCGCGTCACGCGAAGTTGGACCATCTGTTGAACGTTTGCGAACGCACGGCAAACTTCGCAAAACAATTTATTACATTACACGATAAAACAACGATTGTTTTTTTTTCCTAAACCGAACGTTTTTGTTGCGTTTTTGCTAACGTCAAGTAACCGCTCACAACTTTAGGAAGGTTAGCTATAGCTGGTTAGCCAGGACTAGCTAACTGGCCTTTGCTAAAAAAAACGGGCCGTTAGAGACTGAAATTGACCGTTTTGCCAACATTTTCCAAAACTATGCTTCCTTTCATTACCAAGTAAATTTGCTTACTCTACCACGCAAACAACTCAAAGGTTACATGTATATGTCGCCTATGTAACTAATAGTTCACTGTATAAATGTTTAGTCAGTTTATCAATAGACATTATTTTTTATGAATTAAGCAAACAAGGGCATCCCTTTTCTTGTCCATACCGCTAAATTGTCCTCCCTCACTGGCCATTGACCCATATGTAATACGGGACGAATTAGTTAATTTATAACCTCATATTTTTCTGTGCTGGCTTAACGGCTAGTCATATTTAAGTTACATATAATCGCAACGTCTGCTCGTAAATGACCACCGGTAGGAATAACCGAGTCATGATGGAAGGAGTGGGTGCTCGAGTGATCCGCGGTCCTGACTGGAAGTGGGGTAAACAGGACGGTGGAGAGGGGCACGTCGGCACCGTCAGGAGTTTTGAGAGTCCGGAGGAGGTGGTGGTGGTTTGGGACAACGGCACCGCCGCCAATTACCGCTGCTCCGGAGCCTATGATGTGAGGATATTGGACAGTGCGCCCACAGGTGAGTGAGACTGGGACTAACCGGTCAGGTGCGTCTGTCACGTGACATAAACAACAACAACGCGAACGTGCAAAATAGCTTTAATTAACATTATCTAACGCTTAATGTCTTTACAAATCATTCAAGTCATATGACTTGATTGTTTTAGGCTACTTTTGACCTGGTTCGTTCATCACATATAGTTGAATAGGATTATTTTGTACTACCGTATTCATATATAAAACAACTAGAAAATATATTCTTTATGAAACAGGGTAGCACTTTATTTTAACGTGTCCTTGTTACACGTTACATTTAGACTACTTGTATTAATAATAACTATAAATTAGGCATGATCGCATGCAACTAACCATAAACTACAGTAGTAAGTACAGACTTAATTAATATTACTCTGTACTTAAATGTATATTTACACTGTAACAGAGACACATTTAGATATATAAGTGGATATCTACCAAATTTAGTGTAACCAAAAATAGAATTTCTATAAAAATATTAAGAAAGAAAATACATTCCATTCTGTATCAACAACATGAATGAAGTGCATTAAACTGGGGGTTTGTGATGAAAAGCTAATAATTACTTAAAATTATATTTTATTTGTATACCTGCATGTCAAGTGACCTTTAACAACGTCTGAGAATCAATAAGTTATGAATAATTTACTGTCATTGTGTGAATATGTAATCATTGAATCAATAAAGTCATTGTAATCTGATAAGTATTTAAAATTGTAATACAGGCTAATCTGACTACAAGTAATTTGTGGAATCGGAGTATGTAATCCAGATTACAAATGCAGGTGGAAGTCAACTCCCTTGTCATATGCGTGTAATTGCAATGTTACAGGAATCAAGCACGATGGCACCATGTGTGACACCTGTCGGCAGCAGCCCATCATCGGGATCCGGTGGAAATGCGCAGAGTGCACCAACTATGACCTCTGCACCACCTGTTACCATGGTGACAAACACCACCTGCGCCACAGGTTCTACCGCATCACCACCCCGGGTAGTGAGAGGTGAGTGTGGCTTTCCTCCCTGTGGTCTTCACTCCTTGACATTATTCCCTCTGTGGATGAGGGAGCTTCTCTGGCCAGTTTCAGACCTAGCATGCAACATTTTCTTCAGTTGCGCAGCGACAGGTACGACAGGATTTCAGTGGGACTACCAACCTTTAATAGCACAGACCAGTTTGCATCATTGGTCAGGGCGTGTGTCACTTTGGGAGAGTTGTGTAAGCTCAAAATCTTAATGCAAGCTGCTACCTTAGGTCTCAATTGCATAGTGGATGACGGTAAAGCCGGCCCACTGGTCTTGATTTAGTTGGTTTTGACTTAAGGGACATTGTACTGTCATGTCTACCTGAGCACAGTTGTGCTAAAAGTCTCTGGAGGAGAATAATCCAGATTTGGAAATCCCAAGTTTTGCTATCCAGGATCAGCTAACGCATCTTGCTTTTGTGCATTTCTTTAAGCAACAGTAGACAGGACCACCCTGATCCAGATACATACCTGTATCATTTTATGGGGACAAACTATTTTTTTCTTTACTGTGCTGAAAAGCTTTATAGATGGCCAACTTTATCTACAGTACATTAACACTGTAACAGTTTAACAAATCAAGTGAAAATGTAAATGTTGTGTTGTTTCACCAATTTTAAAGTTTTATTACATTTTGTTCCCAATGTCCCAATGTATCCCTAATATCCTCCCAAAAAGTTTTGAACGACACATACTAAAGTGTTTGGCCGTAAAAATAAATAGCCTCAGCTGCTGCAGCTGACTTTGCATTAAAATCTCTACTACCTACCTACTGAAGGTTGCTTGATCAAGACTTGATTTTGTGGTCCAATCCAATTTCAGAATCACAATCCCCGTTTTCTTTTGAAATCCTTACATTTTCTAGATTTGATCCAATTTGATAACCAAACTCCAGTCAAACGTCTTTTGAACAACTGAGCTCTGGTGTCTCCCATGCTTGGTTGGTCATTTTTTAGCAAGTTCTTATGTTTCCTCTTGCTCCAGCCGATTGAATCTTCAGTGACACAACATGTTATGCTTTTCCTTTGACATTAACTGCAGTTTTTGTGTGATGCAAAAGTTAGCCTACTCTATATTAATTACTTGTCAGCTGGTGTATAAAAGCAATTGAATTCACATCAGACCTTATGACAGGTAAATTACTAGCCAATCAAATTGGTTCAAGGATCATTCTTGTTGTTATCCACCATTTTGTTTATCTGTGACATACCTCATTTTTCTGGGCAAATTACCAACATTATGGCAAAAAAGTTGTTTGGTGCATGTAACTGGGATACGTGGTATCCAGAGAGGCTAGTGAATGAAGTTTGGTTTGTCACGTTTCCAAATTCAACCGGTAAGCTCGAAAAAAGCAAAAGTTGGATCAGACTGCGTTAGTAGACTGTATGAACAAGTAAACTTGACATTTTAAACAAATGTCCAAAATAAATCATCTCTACATTGTACATTTCCACCGAGGTGGTTGTAGTAGAATATAGTATGGTGCATGTTTTTAGCAATGTGTTTAATTGGTTTAAATAGCATTTATCTCTCTATGACATTGGCTTTTAATAATTTTACACTTCCATTATTATTTTTGAGATCCCCCCCAATACCGTAAAACTGCACATTTTAGAGTGGCCTTTTATTGTGGCCAGCCTAAGGCACACCTGTGCAATAATCATGCTGTCTAATCAGCATCTTGATATGCCACACCTCTGAGGTGGATGGATTATCTCAGCAAAGGAGAAGTGCTCACTAACACAGATTTAGACAGATTTGTGAAAAATATTTGAGAGAAATAGGCCTTTTGTGTACATAGAAAAAGTCTTAGATCTTGAGGTCAGCTCATGAAAAATGGGGGCAAAAACAAAAGTGTTGCATTTATAATTTTGTTCAGTGTAATTTTAAATTATGAAAGATATATGAAAAACACATTATTAACTCTTCCGCTGCACATTTTCCTTGGTGAAATTACAAGAGGGAATCTAAAAGTGTTATGAAGTCAGACAGTCAACATGTCATAAATATTGACATTAACACTGTTTTCTTGTCTTTTACCATTATATTTGTGACCCGTGCTGGCAAAATGAGTCATAATGAGCAAAATAAAAAAATTAGTTATTTTCACATTCTCTATTAAGAAACCTTCAAATTGATGTAGCCTATGATTTGGTAGATAAAAAATGAAGTCGATAGAGTCAGCAAAGTCAACTTTTTTTTAGAAAAATCGAGTTAAAGTTTTCTGAAGGTTCCAAGACAAAATCACCTAGAAACCATATCTTAAAATCCCTGGTAATAACACCAAAATTCAACCCCAAAGTCAAAAACCCAAGTCAAACCCAAATATCTATAGAAAAAAGTATTTATTCAACTTTTTTTCCCATGATACCACAGTTGTTTGATTAACATTAATGAAACGGACAGCCTATATATTAAGACCCACTGTACCGCACGGATCTAATATAATGTTACACATCAAATCAAAACGCCCCTTTCACGTATACAGTCTTTACTGGTAAATTACCGGTAACAGATCATGTGTGAACAGGACCTTTTCAAATATACCGGTTAATTTGTTCGGGCAATTTACCAGTAAGGGAACTTGTAACATTACCAATAAATTACCAGTATATGTATATAGCACTCAGAACGCGCTGAGGTAAGAAGTGATTTGGGCCAATCAGAAGCCGTTTAAAAGAGCAAAATCATAAAATGATGCACTGATAACGCGTTTAAGTCAGCACTGTTTACAGATGTCTTCAAATTGGAGTGATACCGAAACTAAAGCTCTTCTCCTCGTCCGGGCGGATGAAGAGATTTGTCAACAACTGTTAGCGAGACTGTCACGTATGGTAAAATAACTAGCCTTCTTCAAGAACAAGGCATAAACAGGAGCAAAAGTCAAGCGATGGGCAAGTTAAAAACACTTAGGCTAAAATTTCTGAAAGTACACAACTTTTATTAAGCCACAGGAAACACAGTATATCCTTTTCCATTGTTTTTGTTTTGGTTCTTCTAGACTTTGCCTGCAATGGCGGCACTTTTCTTCTTCTATCCTTCCAAGCGAATGTCCTATACAGTAAATGACACGACTCAGTGCTGCCCTCTGATGATTTGTAGAGTATAGAAAAGCAATCGTACTGCGCATGTGTCGAACTCGTCCATCCGCGGTTGAGTAGCCTATAGTTTATAACCTCTGTGGACATGACTGTGCACAAGACGAAGCGTAACGCTGAAAATGAAGTATACCCGGCCACTTATTTACAGGCTGCCAGGAATAGCCTAGTTAACTCTTTTTTTTTTTTTCGCATTGAATCTAGAAATTTGAGCTGCTGTTTTGTTTCTAGAGTTGCCATCTATTCCGTTTGAATGGCTTGAGTAACGTCTCTCTTTCAGTGTCTCCATATGGTGAGGCTATTAAGAAGTCTAGCAGTTGTTTAGACGTCTCTCGTGTCAGCCATCCATAACTGCCCTCAACATGAGCTCAAAGAAACAATAGGTCAGCTCAACAGCTGGTGTCCTTTCAACTAAGTGTGCCTCTATTTCCCTCGTGAGAATGGTTAGGGAAGTACAACACACAAAGGCAGTAGTGAAGCCAGGCCTTTTTGCAGGGTGTTTCCCTCTGGCAGCTGCTGTCTCATGCTGTGGTTTCCAGCTGCTTTAAGGATCCATCTGATCTTAAAGGGATAGTTCACCCCAAATTCAAAATATTGTCATTTATATATATATACCCTCAAGTTGTTCCAAACCTGTATGAGTTTTTCTTATGTTGATCACAAAATAAGATATTTTAAAGAATGTTGGTTATCAAACAGTTGATGGTAGCTTTGACTTCCATAGTAGGAAAAATCAATACTATAGAAGTCAATTGCTACCGTCAACTATCTCGTAACATTCTTCAAAATATCTTCTTTTGTGTTCAACAGAAGAAAGAATCTCATACAGGTTTGGAACAACATGAGGGTGAATAAACGACCAATTTTTTATTTTGGGATGAACTATCCCTTTAATATTGGCCTTTTTTTAAAGTTATGTTTTTGGCCTTTTTGTGCCTTTATTGGATAGGACAGTAGATATTTTAACTGGAAAGCAGAGTTTAGAGAGAGAGGGGAACAGGATCGGCAAAGGACCTCGAGCTGGGAATCGAACTCGGAGCAGTTGCGCTATATGTCGACACGCTAACCACGAGGCTATTGGCATTTTAAAAATGAACATGTCAGCAAAGCTGGAGAATCCGAGACTGTCCGCTGTGGTTCAGCATGGGCCAGACAAGTTCTCTTCTAGAAACTGAAAGAGATGTTAAACATTATCCAGGACTTTTCATTCTGGGTGTATTGCAGGTTTCAGGAGACATCATAGGTTCTAAGTAAATCGAGTTGAACAATATAATGACAATCCAACAGTGGAAGCAGGAAGTTACTTTACCTCTAACTGGGAGCAAAACTTATGCTCTAATGTTTCCAAAGCATAACTTCTGTACTCTTGCCATTTGCTTTGTAACATTCTTGTATGTTTTGCACAGAGTTCTTCTGGAATCTCGTCGCAAGTCAAAGAAGATCACAGCCCGGGGCATCTTTGCAGGAGGACGGGTGGTGCGGGGAGTGGATTGGCAGTGGGAGGATCAGGATGGCGGGAATGGAAGAAGAGGGAAGGTAATGCCTCAACATGTTTGGCTATGCTCTTTGCTCATCATTTATTAGATGAGTAACTTTCCACTCTATCAAGTATATACATTGTGTGTTATGCTCTTGCATGTTCATTGAAGCAAAATGCGATGGTGCCAATACAAACCTGTTACATTATTTATCTACATTAATTTAGTAGATGTGGTTATCCAAAGCAACTTACAGCATACAACATAAAAGATCCTAAATGAGCAGTAACATGAGAAGTTACTGGTTTTTTTTCTGCAATTTCACACACTAGCCTAGTCATTACTTAAACTATAATTATATATATAGCCCACTGATTTAAAATGTACTACAAGTGCAAATATAGGGTTGAATTGGAGAGTTGTTGAAATCCCTCTCCATGGTCATATATGACATTTAAACCACTGGAAAGTCACTTCAGCTAGTTCAACACACACTTTCTGCAGTTTAAAAAGTGCTTTAAAAGCATTTTAAAAGTGTTTACCTTACCTTTGGTACATGCTTTTAAAGGGGTCATGAACTGCATTTATTTATTTTTATTTTATAATGTTCTCTGAGGTCCAGTTATGATGTTATATCCTAATTTAGAAGTAATGAGCTATTTTCTATCCTGTTTTTGATCCTCTCTTTCTAACACTCCGTTTTGATGGGCATCACATTCAAGACTTGGAAGTAAACGCCCACTGCTATGAAGGGGTAACAGTTTTGCATATTAAATGATGATCAATGTCCCTGCCATTGCACGTGTGGAATTGTTTTGAAAACGGCCAATGTTGAAAAATATCTCGTTACATAGTTTGCCAACAATATTAAACATTTATGCGTGTTGCATATGCTTTGTAAGTCTTGTTTGTGGGCGGCAAATACATTTAAAGGTAGGGTAGGCAATTTGTTTTAAAAACACTTCTTGTTATACTAATTTAAACTCAATTCACATCCTGATAGCAATCAATAATAGAAGTGGTCTAAATATTAAAACATGTACATATATCTTCTGTGGAAATCTCAGTAGTCAGTACCAAAAAAATTTGTCCAGTCATTACATTGAGTCCAAATGCAGTGATACGATGTCCTACCTGCCTGTCAGTGTATGTATTTCCAGTGGCGGATTTAGCAAATTGGGGGCCCAAGGCGAAGGTAGTATGGGGCCCCCCATCCGATCTTTAAAAGAGAACGAAAAAATAAAAAAATCTGAATTTTTTTTTTTAAAATAAACTATTACATGGCACTTTCTGGAGAGTTTTGTGCAAAGAAATATAGAAAAAAAGTAGGTCTAGCAAGTCTTATATTTCTGTAATTCACAGAGATCAAACACAAATATGCTGACTGAATAGATTGCTAGTTGAGAAACACTGCTTTAATTAATGTTTTTATGATGACTTGAAAGGTTAACTAAACAGCATGAGCCGTCTTCCAGCTGGCCAGTAAGTTATTTGGCAAATTTCATTCATACAGATCTGTATTATGCTATAGTTTTTGATAGTGTTATACATTTCTTACAGATAATCACGATGATCATTGCGTTTGTCTTACCGAATGTGGTAGCTTTATGCAATTACAGTTTGTCTATAAGCTTTTTTTTTATTAATGCCGACAGTAAAATGTTGCCAGATATTGCTACGAAAAACAAGAAAACAAAATAATAATAATCCGAAATAAGTTCAAAGCTTGTGTTTTGGAAATAAGATTAATATATCACTAACCCTAACATGCAACTTTCCACCTTGATAATTTCCTTAAAGTTTTTAATTTTTTTATTTTTAAATGTAAAATATGACAGAGTTCCGGACCTCGGTCACCTCATAGCTGGCTACGGCCATGGACTTGTAACATATCGTTAGCACATACCGGGCATCACAAAAAAGTTTGTTACCTTCTGCACTTTTGCTAAAAACGTTTTGCTTTCCTCCCGCTTCCTGCTTTTTCAGCACCGCTTGGGTAGCTTCTCTGTCTGTCACTCTGTAGCCTACACTGTCTGTCAATAACTTATTTTTCTCCGTCAGTTTTTTGGCGCATTAGCCTTGTCACTTTCGCACGCAGAAAGTGAGATAATGGAATAGTCCAATGTAGTGAGGTGGGGGCCCCTCCTGTCTGCGACACTAATGATTTGATGCCTTTTTTCGCAAATGTTTTTTAGAAATATATAATTTGCGAAAAGTAAAAAAAAAAAAAAACTTAAGCATAATTTAATGGGGCATTTTGGGGGCCCCTAGGTAGCTCGGGGCCCAAGGCAATTGCCGACCTTTGCCTAATGGTTAAGTCCGCCCCTGTGTATTTCCATACCTTCGCGCAGACATCACACGTCATATATGCAGAGTTGTAGACGTACAGCCAACGAGCGGCAAAAGCAAACAGCAGCCACCTTGTACAGTTCCTCCTGAACCAAACCAACGAGCTTCGCCATGTCATAACTGTAATTACGAGATGGCAACCCGTGACGTATCAACGCGGAAATGAATCTGCAGCAGTCAGGTGTACAGGTCAGAGCTCTGTAAGTTGTTTACGTTCATTATTATTGTAATGTGATGCGCTTTGAGACATGAGGTAGTTTAACGCCTTCTCTCGTCCCGTAAAGCTTTCCAGAATCGGCTGTTCGTGTTCATGTGTTTTAAAGAAGGCGTGGCTTTGGAGACACTATTAAGGGAGGGATCTTATGCTTTCAAAGCTAGCTTGCTATTGCTAGCCTCTTCGAAATTTTCTACACTAGCTTTAAAGTCCCCCTGTAGTCAATCATTGTATCCCTTAACTCACCTTTGATCACCAAAATGACATATTTAAACATGCCTTAAAATAGCTTGAATGTAACTCTACACCCTTGCCTCGTGTAGTATACGCGGTTCTATGAATATTCAAATTAGCCCCGCCTCCACTCACTCACACCAGTCGACGATCACACGTTGACCTGATTGGTTACAAGGTAGTTTTTGACGTCAGAAACACCAGCGATTTCAAACCGCGTTTTTGAGACGGTCTTTGGTTCACTGCCGTTTTAAGGAGAAAATACTAAGCAATGGTGTTGAATTTGCACATGGTTTGATCTAAATCATATTAAAAACACCATATAGACATATAAACAACATTTAAAAGCTTGATTTCCATCACAGGGGGACTTTAAGTACTTGGAGTTACCACAGTTATAGCTGACAAAGAATGACTTGTGGTGTTTCTGTGGTGTAAATGGAATTATGAATGTACATTTGTTTGTCTCACTGTCGTTCTCATAGGCTATTCATCGTTCATCCTTTTCGATAACGTGTTGTAAGTAATGTCAAAACAGATATTGCTCAATGAAGCTTTTATTCAGGATTTCAGTGAATGACTTCAATCAAAACTATAACAAAAGCAGCGTTCTCTACATGCTTTCTTCCATTTCCATAATCTAACGCATTAACCCCATAAATGCGACGCAAAGGAATGAACAACATCCATCACAATATTCAGTTTGACTGTGGCGCTACAGTATAAAAACTCAGTACATATCAATCGATCTGTATTAGACAACGCAATAGTGACGCATGGTAAACACTGTTACTCACACTTGTGTGTTGCGCCATTACTGTTTAATCCAGTGTAGTTGGCACTGCATCATCTTTTATTTTCACTCTCTGAAAAGCCTGCGTCGAACTCGCGTTTAAAAATGAATCTGCAGTAAAATAAAGCGAAACAAACAAACAGTGTCTTACTTGCGCAATCTGACTGGAACTTGGTTAAAAATTGTTCATCCATCTGCGCCAATAGCCTCGTGGCCAGCGCACAGACATATAGCGCAGTTGCGCATCAGGCGTCCCGAGTTCGAGTCCCGATCCCGCCCTCCGTTCTCTCTCCAACTTCGCTTCCTGTCAACTAGCTAACTGTCCTATCATAATAAAAAAAGGCAAAAAACGCCCCCAAAAAAAATAGTTCATCCACACTTTCTTAATGTTTGGGTCACAAGGATGGCAATGCAAAACAAAGCTCTTATAAACCTTTAGAGGCATCTCTATTGTTTTGTTGCTGTGGAGTCTATCTCGTATTTACTACTACGTGAAGTGGAAATCGGTGGGCGGGGCTAAAGAGGCAATGATGTAGAAGTAGGCATTGATCTTCTGCTGAGGAAGTCTTTCGTCACCCTTTGACTTAAGGTGAAAAAAAAAATCCAAAACGAGTCATTTTACGAGCTTGGCTTCATTAAAAGCTGCTTTTGGACTAGCAAGCAAGTTTTGAGTTCTGAAACTTCCAGGATATTTGATGGTACATGACCTCTTTTGTCAAAAGAAGGAACATTTGATTTCTCAATTCATGACCCTTTTAAGTCTCTTCAATAACAGCTTTCCTTATTGTATTCCAGTGTTATATTAGGCACGTTTAGAGTTGTCATTGTAATTATTTATTGCTCTATTGCTCAGCACTGCTTCTCTTTTGCTCATTGACGAACCTGCAAAGCCCAATTTTTTATAATGTATTTGTACTAGGGCTGCCTCCGACTGAAGATTTTTCATGTATATCCGCCTAATAATAGCGCACAGTTGTCTAGGTTAACATTAATGTTAGAGGAAGCAGCCATTTTAAAGTGGCTAACGTTAGGCTACTAAATTTTTTCAAATGATAAGCCATGTTTGATGTCGATGAATTAAAGGTTTGGATTTCCTGCCCGACATAACTACCACATGGTCATTGACCAGCTGTTAACGTTCTGTCCGTCAGACTCCATGACTTCGCCAATTGACTTCGCCGAGTTTTTTTTTTTTCTGCGACTAACCGACAAAAAAATTTGGTCGACTAAGCCTCTACTCGACTAACGTTTAGTTGACTATAAGGGGGCAGCCCTAATTTGTACACATTGTCCCAGTTGAAAACCATTTTTGTGCAAATCAGTGTATTTAACTTCATAAGGCCGTTTGTTGCTCTGTAATATTTCCCATAAGTTCAACATGGATATTTTTAATGGCATATTTTCCATCAAGAGTGATGCCACTCTAAAAAAAAGTACTGTGCAAGTCAACTGTTTATTTGGTCTTTGAATTCTCAGATATTTCAGGCCACTCCAGTTAAATGTATTTAAAGAGTGCTCTCAAACACACTTCCTTTAAAGCGAGAGCCGACTTCAAGCCAACTTCACGGTTTGTAATTAGAGCAGCATTTCTGTCACTCTGATTGGCACGTTGAATGGCATTCTGGCGGTGGAAACATTTACTGGTGGTGAAACTGTGCGCTTCCTGCTTGTTTAATGTTTTGGTATTTTTTACTTTTTTACCATTACATAATATTTCAAACTCATAGCTGTTGTAATGTTTTGTAAGGTTAAGAAGAGCTTGCAAATGGCATAAGACAACTTGCTAATCAGACTATTCTAATGTTTTCTGTATTTATTTGTGGAATTCTGTGACTGAAGTTGTATATGGTACATTATTTTGGAGGAAATCTAAGCATGTTTGACACTGGATCATTAAACACAACTGACATTTGAGACAAGTTGGGGTTGCTGTTGTTTCAAGCTGACAGCTTAAAGTCGGCATGGAATGAAATTCTGTCTATTTTCTAAATGTGTGTTATGGATCTTAGGCCCTGTTTACTCCTTGTATTAAGAAGCATTTTCATCTGTCGGGTCACAAGTGGACAATGCTAAATACAGGTGTAAACAGGGTCTAAAACACTTTGAGTTTGTCCACTTTTGAGGACTTCCAGAGGTAGTCGAAAACGCATTTGCTTTCGTAGTGTAAACGCTCATGTGGTCGAATGCGTTCGAACAGCCACAAAAGAGCATCTACTCTCCGCCTACTGCCCTAATGAGTAGGGGTGTAACGGTTCACAAAATTCACGGTTCAGTTCGATACGATACACTTGTGTCACGGTTCGGTTCGGTACGATTCGGTACGTTTCCGATACAGCAAAAAGAAAGAAATGGGAGAGAAATTTCCTTGATTTAATTTTTTTAATTATATTTTTATTAAAACTAACATCATAAAGTATGATTTTTTTTAACTTTGAGCAATGATGGAGCTATACTTGACTTTTCTTAGGAGCTTATAAAACAAAACAGCTCCTTGGACAAAATTAAATGTAATATTGTAGTAGTTATAAACAAAGGTTTATTTTAGTTCAGATTAACATTTGAGGGCAGCAATTGTATTCATAATGTCAAAATAAAACCGACGTAATGTTACTTGAAAGCATTATAGCCTACTATTCCTGCCAAACTCCCATGGTTACAGTGAGTGTTACTACAGTAAACCCATGGTGAATGTTGCTGATCTGTGGACACTGTAGCGACGCTACTAACTTAACTACATTTTTCAGTAGCTTGGCAGTAGCTCAGTTGCTTTTTAAACAGTGTAGCTTTTCCAGTAGCTAACTACTTTTTGCAGCAAGTAGCAGTGTAGCGCGAGCAAAAGCTACATTGTGTTTTGTTGAGCCTGCGCGAATCAGCGCGATGCAAGGATATTCTTCTTCTTGTTAGATTACAAACTAATTTGTTTTGCCATTACCGCCACCTGTTGTTTATTCACGCATCTTGCGGCTAACGGTTCACTGACGTACAGAAGACCTCAAGCACAAATTTAAGGACTCACATACAGGTGATTAATGGCCATTTTAAATGTATTAATTATCCTTTATTGCTCTCTATGTTACATCAAATTTCTATTTCTGATTTAATTACATTGAACCCCCATGATCTGTCCGCCAGTTTGGTAATGAACATAAAATACCACTAAAGTTTGCGCCATCGTGTTTGTCAGTTGAACAAAAAATGTAATCTTAGTTTGTTTATCGCACGACAAAGGCTTTGATCTAATTAAATTGGTGTATAGATGTGTTGTGACTGGATCCAGAGCGAACCGAACTGTGCTCACAAGCAGCTTGTGATTCAGGTTCTTCTTTCACAGTAAATTCTGCAAGCTCCATCACTGCGTGTGAGCGAGTTTAACGCGCATTGCCAGTGCCACATGTGAGTGCTTGTTCAATGTATTTTCTTGCCAAAATGCAACCATCTCACAGTCACAATCGGTATTTTTGAGAAAAAGTCTATACATGCAATTTACGTTGGATGTATATTTTGTTCTTGCAATGTTGTATTTGTTGCAATTTTGCACTTTTGACAAACAGTCTGAGATATTTGAGTGTTGTCTGTAATAAAACAATAAAAATCATAATTGTATTGCATTGTTTTAAACACTAAATATTTTACTTAAAACATTTCTCAGACACTTATTCAGTTATTTATAATATATGTTGTTCAAAAAAAGCAAAAGTAGTTTCAATGTAGCTAGCTACTTTTTGATCGTAACTTGTAGTGTAGCTAACTACTTTTCCAAAAGGGTAGCTTGACTGTAGTTTAACTACTTTAACTAACGAGTAGCTTGTAGCTTGTCAAACTACAGATTCAAAGTAGCTTTCCCAACACTGCATTTGCATTTGATGTTGGGCAATGTTGTGGTCACGCCAGCGTCTCTTACATTATGAGCGTGCTTGCCACACGTGACGCGCCTACATTTGAAATAACGAAATTTTGGTCAGCAGGAAAAATGGTCCAACGAACCGTTCGGTTCAAAAATGCGTACCGAAAACCGAACCGAAAGCCTCGTACCGAACGGTTCAATACGAATACGTGTATCGTTACACCCCTACTAACGAGTAAACATAATGGGTAAGCGCACCAGCCAGACGGGATTTATACTTTGTCGGCCGAAGACCTAAGTTTGGTTTAAAGACAAAAAACGTACCAAGCACAAATGTTCTCTCACCAGGACTTCTCCACTCATTTAGTCTGCTTAAATTGCCGCTCAAGCTCTCACGTTCATCTGCCTCCACTCCTCCATCTCAAAATCCAATCAACAAACCAAGTCCTCACCCTATACTATTCCCATCACAATACGGAAGAAAAAAATCTGTTGCTACTTCCATTTCATTGCGACTTTAAAGTCAAGTCAAAGACAAGCTGCTTAAAATAAGCATATAATTACCATTCAGTGGCATTTTTTTGTTGTTGTAACTTTATAGTTTCACACAATGTCTATCTACATTGGGATATCCACGGTCCTTCAACCTTTTTTCCCTTGAATATTGTGTTTGTTAGTTGCATTAATCAGACTTTAGACTGCTTTAGTCACGTGACTGAAGTGAGGGATATTTAGTAACACTTTGAATTTCTTGTCGTCTGCATGACTTCGTCTTCTCTTTGCTCTTTTTTTTTTTACCGTCCTCCTCTGTTTCAGGTGACAGAGATCCAGGACTGGAGTGCTGCCAGCCCCCACAGCGCAGCCTACGTCCTCTGGGACAACGGGGCCAAGAACCTCTACCGAGTGGGATTCGAGGGCATGGTGAGCCACCCCCATCACTATACACACATACACAAAAGACTGCAGTTAACTGGCCTTTGTGTTGCTACCCACTTCCCCCCCCCCCCCCCCGCGCGCACAATGCACCACACACAGACCAGCATCCCATAAGCTGGGCTTCTTTATGAGAGCCATGTGCAGGGCAGGCATTGTGAGGGGCAGCTGGATGAGCTATCTGCATGATAAAAGAAATCTGTCCCCTTTCTGTCGCTTCACAAGAGAGCGAGAATCCACATGAAGACCAAAGGCAAAGAGAGCAATGGGAGTGGCCTGCGTAAAGCGTGCCTCAGTTATTGAAGTGAGAGGCTGCCCGTTCATTGGCTGTTCGACTTTCTGCGACGTCTGAATTTCAGCCAATCTCTTCGCAGTTGGGCTACGGCTTTTGTCTGTTATTGCTATATATCCGTAGGGTGTGCGCAGCCATCTGCCACTGGAATTATTAATTAGATTTGGATAAAGAGGATGAAGCACAGACTACTGTTTCATTGAGACTGGTTAGACTTTAGGAATTTGTTAGGCACACAAAACAGTTTGAACAAATCTCTCATAATTGTCTTGTTCTGTTTTTTTTTTGTTTTTTTTAGTCTGATTTGAAATGTGTGCAAGATGCCAAAGGAGGCGCTTTTTACAGAGACCACTGTCCAGTGTTGGGTAAGCTTTCAAATGTCTCATTATACAAATATATCATACTTGTAGGCACATATTATTTATGATGAATATGATTGAGTGAAGTGTGGTTGGGTGAAGTCCTCCATTGCATCTTAATTCAATGTATTGTATGAGATGCTTCCACTAGGTGTCAGCACTAGATGCGGGGATCTTCAAACATACTTCAAACATATAGCTACGGTGACACATTCCAGTTTAAAAGCTGTTTTGGCCCCAATCCATAATTGACTCCCTGCTATCCATGCCAATAACAGAAGGTTCTAAGCAAAAGTGGTTGGACTTAAATAAATTTCTCTTGAAACCTTAAGGGATGGTCCCAAGTCTTAAGCTGTGGCCCAATTCACAGGGTCCCAATGCAGTGTTCACAGTTATCTGTTGAAGTTCAATTCACTTTACCAAAATGCATTCATTTGAAACGCACTGTAACGCAGAAACCTGCATACAAAACTTGAGTCGAGCATATTGGAGTTACGGTGTGATTTATGATATATTTGTAGATGCATATGTAATTGTATTTATATAAAATATTTAATATTATAAATTTAATTAATAAAATCTGGAAAATTGCCTTGTTGGCCATTCACGTGACTCATGCAAATCCTTTTTTTTTTCGGGATTGGTGGAAAGAGGAAAGTTATTCAGCCTGATTAAGACCAATTATTTATTATATATACCCATTATATAATGCGTCAACTAATGTTAACAAATGAAACCTTATTGTAAAGTGTCACTAATTTCTTTAATTTCTTTCACAAGTAAAAAAAAAAATTCTTACTCGCCCCAAACTTTGAATGGTAGAGTGTATAATGTTACAAAAGCTTTCTATTAAAAACAATAAAAAATCGGTAACATTTTACAATAAGGTTCATTAGTTAACATTAGTTATTGTATTAACTAACATGAACTAACAATGAGCAAAACATGTTGCAGTATTTATTAATGTTAGTTAATAAAAATACATCGGTTCATTGTTTGTTCATGTTAGTTCACAGTGCATTACCTAACGTTAACAAATACAACCTTTGGTTTTAATAATGTATTAGTAAATGTTGAAATGAATATTAACTGAGATGAATACATGCTGTCGAAGTATTGTTCATTCTTAGTTCATGTTAACTAATGAACCTTATTGTAAAGTGTTACCAATCTTACTGATCTAAAACTTTTGAATGCTAGTGTAGATGTACTTAAGCATGACTTGGCCATTTCAGAATTTTCTTAGTTCATTTTTTCAATAGAATAATGAATACTGGTCTCGGATGATAATGCCCATGAGAAGTCCCTAGCTGTTCTATTGCTCTCTCGATCATCTCTCTCTTTCCTCTGTGCCCTTCTGTAGGTGAGCAGAATGGAAACAGGAACCCCGGAGGGCTGCAGATCGGAGACTTGGTCAACATTGATTTGGACCTGGAGATCGTTCAGTCGCTGCAGCACGGTCACGGAGGCTGGACTGATGGCATGTTTGAGACCCTCACCACCACAGGCACTGTGTGCGGCATCGATGAAGACCATGACATAGTGGTGCAATATCCCAGTGGAAACCGGTCAGTCACACAGCACCTCTGAAAACACGGTTTACATCATCATGGGCCATATATCACCACAGTTTTCTTTTCTTCTTCTTCTTTTGCTTTTGTTTCATCGTGACAGGCGCAAACCTCAAATATATGACAAATCATATTAATATTAATGTTGATTAATAAGAATATACATTACAATGTTAAATTTGTATATACACATTTTACACATCTAAGTAAATAATTGGTAATAAATAAATAGTAATTAGTATATCAGTGGATCAAGAATTTACATAACAAGAAACACTTCACATTAGTCCTCTTAATAGCATGAAACTGCTTTTTTTCTCTCAATATAAGCAGTATAACAATATTAAAACAATTTTTAGTGCTGGTCAACGATTAATCGCGATAAATCGCATCCAAAATAGAAGTTTTATTTTAAAAAAACACACACACACACACACACACACACACACACACACACACACACACACACACACACACACACACACACACACACACACACACACACACACACACACACACACACACGCTAAGAGACAGCTTCTTAGTGCTGTTTGCATCCAAAATAAAAGTTTGTGTTTGCATAATATATGTGTATGTACTGTGTATAATTATTTTGTATATAAATACACACACGCATGTATACATTTAAGAAAAATTTGTATTTATATATAATATAAATTATATATACAGTAGAAACATGCAAATATTTCTTAAAGGGGTCATATAATGCCATTTTTGTACAAGCTAGTATGATTCTTTAGGGTCTAAATTAAAAGTTTGTAATATACTTTAATTAATATTGGAAGAAAACACTTATTTTACTTGGTCAAAAACAGCTCTGTTTTCAGCACGCCGTTTCAGTGCATATGACTTTAAATGATAATGAGCTTTGGTCACCCCGCCTCTCTGTTCTGTGCTTACACCATTTGTAACACAATAACACAATAACCATAACGCGTTGTTCAGTATAAACGTGGGATTATGAATTATATTGAGAACATCATACATGGAAAACATGCCGTAATGTAGGCCTAACCTAAGTGTAAACCTTAGATGCATTCATTGTGAAGCGTGCAGCTAGCGATTTGCAAAGATTAATATAAATATTAATATAAAGTTTAATAAAACGTTACACTTACTTCAGTTGTTCTAGAGGTTCATCAGGAACACGAATAGCTGGTACCGAACCTTTTTTCATGAGCAGCTTCTTAGCAAAACCAGCTTTATACTGACCCTCGTCTATAAAGCAGTCTGCTGAGAAATGATTCGCGCAAACATGAGAGCATTGACGTTGCTCGTGGGGAATATTCCCTTCGAAAACAAACTCAGCCACTGCGTCTTCAGCGGTTCGGATTTAGGAACATTAAAATGACTGCTGTGTTCGTTATTACACCCAAGAACAGAACACCACAATCGCTTAGACGCCATTCTGCTCATAGACAGTGCTCCAGCATATCAACAATGACCACGCCGGTCCGCGCGGACTATGATTGACAGCTGGCTCATGAGCGAGGGCGGGTCTGTGTTGAAACGATGCTGTCAATCAACAATCGTGGGAGGGGCTTCCGAGTGTGTGACGTCACAAAATCGAACGGCTCAATTTGAGGCAGGGGAAAACGTATAAGGAGATTAAAACAAAAACACTGGATGGATTTTTATCATTGTATGATGGTTGTGTACAGGCACTGCCAACACACATTTCAGTACAATCAACTTGTAAAAGTGCATGTACCATTATATGACCCCTTTAAAAATGTACATGCATGTGTGTGTAACCTACTGTCGTTGAGGATCCATGAATTTCCCTTTGAGTTGTATTGAACACTGACCCCTGTGTGTGTTCTAGGTGGACGTTTAACCCAGCGGTGCTCACCAAGGCAAACGTCGTACGCAGCGGAGAGGTGGCGGCTGGAGCGGAGGGAGGCAGCTCTCAGTTCCTGGTGGGAGACTTGGTCCAGATCTGCTATGACATAGACCGCATCAAACTACTCCAGAGAGGACATGGAGAGTGGGCTGAAGCTATGCTGCCAGTGAGCGCCACCTACCTCATCCATAAAGGGATCTGCAACTCTCTTATCATTTACTCACGCTCATGTCATTCCAAGCCCGTATGACTTCTGCGGAGCGCAAAATATATTTTATTATTTTTTTGGTCCGTACAATGGAAGTCAATCATTAGCAACATTTTTCAAAATGTCTATTTTGTATTCTGCAGAAGAAAGTCATATAGGTGTCGAACAGCATGTGTGTGAATAAATGACACGGGTTTAGTTTTTGGGTGAACCATCCCTTTAAAGATTATTTCTGTGAATGTGTAACATTATATTACTCTTTGGCTGAGTTATGAGAACATGGATATATTTTAGCCATTTTATTATATAATAATAACACAAATAATGAACATGATCAGGAAATTTTGCTGGATTTAAACCTGTGTCACCCGTATTGGCACCATTGCGACACTAAGCACTGAGACTAATTAACAGCTTAGTCAATTGTTCATAATTCAGAAAAGACGTTTACTACTACTAAGCATCTTAAATTTCTCTCACAAATAAAATGACCCGTAAAGGCAGGCGATGATGAGACCTCATCATTGTCATAAAGACCCAGTCTGAGGCTGATGAGCAGTAAATTGCAGCCACTGGCAACCCACTACCAATAGCACAGTTGTTTTATTTGATCTACCGGCTGTTTCAAGCAGCTCTGCCTCCTGAAGCAGTTGATGAGATGCTGTGAGTGGCATTAGGCCTGTGTGCTTGGTTTATATTTCTTGGAACGCCTCCCTTTTTGTTGTCCTCGATGGACAAAGCTCAGATTTCCAATAGCTTCAGTTATGAGCCATATAGATGAGAAATGGGTCCTGCAAGCTTAGGAGCCTTTGGGTATTCTCTTTTTTAAATGAGCCAATCTCAATTTTAAAAGCCAGACCTTACACTTTATTGATTTTTCTCCTCCGACCACCACATCTCTCGCTCTCCCTCCGCTGTGCTTAGGATGTTGCTCTCAGAGGAGGCGTTTGTACCTGTGCGTAAAGAACAGTTCGAACACAGTGTTGTCTAGCATTCCAGACATTTCTGAGCTCTGAGGGAAAAGAAAGTGCGTTAAAAGCAATAAATCTTGTTTAGGACAGTCACACACTTTACACCTGTGTTTTCTTCTGAGCAGACTCTTGGAAAAGTGGGCAGAGTGCAGCAGATTTACTCTGACAGCGACCTGAAAGTCGAGGTGTGCGGGACGTCCTGGACGTACAATCCAGCTGCTGTCACTAAAGTGGCTCCTTCTGGATCTGCTGTTACTAATGCTTCTGGAGGTAACACACACACACACACACACATAAATAAATATACTGGAGAGGATAGTAAATAGTAGTATATATATATTTAAAAAAAATTGCGTCACTTATTCCCATGAACACCATTTGTGTTATTTCATAGATTTAATGACTTTACTAGTATTATTGATGGACAAAAGTGGAAAATTGTAATAACGTAGAATGAGTAGGTGTGTCCAAACTGAGTGGTAGTGCGCATGGGTATTTTACTTGTATCTTTTGATATTATTACATTTCATTTAGGGCTGCACAACAGTGAGGGAAAAAAAGTGACAACATCATGTAAAAAGTATTATCTTTTATTGGAAAATTAAAAAAAATTTCAACAACTGAGAAGAGAGTTATTAAACTACATTTTATAAAGACATCTGTAAAGCTCCTGAATCGTACGGAGAAAATAAAAATAATAAAAACAAAGGTTGAGAAATTAATTTTTTTACTCTGAAGACGTTATTTAAACTCTTCTTTTAGGGCAAAACGATTTGAGAAATACTTGATAAGTATGTGGCTGTTACTGGTAATGGCTTGCTGGAAAGTGTTATACACATTTTAATATATTAGTTTAAAATAAACAATAGAAATCATAATTATTACTATAAAATAGTCATATTGGGTCAAAAAACTGGTAATGACTTGCTGGAAAGTGTGTGTATATTTCTCTCTCTCTCTCTCTCTCCTCTCTCTCTCTATATATAAACACTATATGTACATATATATATATATATATATATATATTTATATATATATATAAATACACAAGTCATTACTAGTTTTGACCCAATATGGCTAGTTTAAAGTAATAATTATGATTTGTATTGTTTATTATTAAAGTAATATATTAAAATGTTAAAAACATTTATTAACATTGTAATAATTTTACTGTAAAATAGAGTATTTAATAAAATAATACTAAACTTTTATAGAACAACTGTAAAATGACAACGCTCATACCCATTTCTTTATTTTCAAAAGTTAAACAATCAAGCTTTTTTTTTTTTTGGTGGATAATTGCACTTAGCCATATCACAGTTTTGCTGTATCATGCAGCCCTAATTTCAATATATTGTGACATGAATTGATTTGCCAGAGGATAAAAGCGTTCTATATTTCAGTGGCGTTCAGTCAACCACAGGCAGGAATCAATCCATCAGTCATCGTGTACTGTGCATGACACTATAGTCCTTCTCTGCCCTCAGAGCGCCTGTCTCAGCTCCTCAAGAAACTTTTTGAGACTCAGGAGTCTGGAGACATTAATGAAGAGCTGGTGAAGGCCGCCGCCAATGGAGACCTGGCCAAAGTAGAGGACATCCTGAAGAGACCTGATGTAGACGTAAGAGTTCGACCGTAACACACGCACACACTTTTTTTTTTAATATACAGTCAAAACAAAATGTATTCTGACACCTTCAACATTTCTCACATCATCACAGTTTATTCGCTATAGTTTAGAAAATAGTAATAAAATATGACAAGAACTCAGAGTTGTCAAATCAGTTGATATATCACTGGTTTTGGCCGTCCTTCTGTTAGTTACACTGTCAACTGAATTAGGTTGAATAGCTGTCAGCTGTTAAATTTAACTACACAATTAGATAATATAAACTTAGCTCAACCAATCACCAAGCAATGCTTCATTTAGTTCAGTCTGTGCTGTAAAAAGGTCGCATTAGCAATTAAAGCTGCATTCCGTAGCTTTTCCTCTTTGTCGCCATCTCTCTGTTCGAAATCTGTAACTGCAGTGATTCGCGGAATTATCATCTTTACGTGGGTTGTAAATCGGCATGAAACAGCGCGGATGAACACAGTGCTTTGAGGCGAGTGGTGCTGTCAGTCACCGCGCTGTGTGGATATACTGTCATTCAGAATCACAGATTCACTTTTTGAAAGTTTGACCAACATAAGAATTTTCATAAGAAAATGTCTTCTGAACAAGTAACATCCATTTTTGTTCTGACCAACTAAGGGGGAAAAAGCATTCGACATGATAAGCTTCGTTAGATTTAATCAACGCGATTTACAGCAACCGTGCAAATTATAGCCTATTTTGTTCTCAAATTGTTCATGTTAACAACATCAGCATTGCGTGACTAATGTTAAATTTAATGTGTTTTATGGTTACCTGTGTAGTTCAGAATTCATATTCTCCATAATAGCAAAACGAGAAAGGCACAACAAAGGAAACTCCATAACTGTGTGAATTAAGAAAACGTACTGTTACACGATTGAACTATTGAAATGTCTTACTTGTTCAGCAGAAAAAAGCCGTCTCTTCTTCCGTTTTGAACCCCTTCGGGAGTTAACTCAAAACACGGAGTTCACGCACTTTTCAAAAGCCCCGCCGATGTTTAATCCTTGTGTTCGCATGAGACGGTTTCTTTCTCTTTCTCTAGCCACCTTAAATCCGAAGTACGAAGTCTTTTGGGTTTTATAACTGCTGAATCTCCAGTTGACACTGATGATTGTTGTTTGGATCTTTCTGGATGCCATAAGTTTAATTATGTAAAGTGCTGCGAGAAAAGCCTATACATCTAAACATCTCGTCACGCGCAGTATAGCCGGCTAGCCGAAACTCCTTCTTTATGTGTACGGGTGTGACGTCATGACGCAAAGACATGCTCGAATTTCCCGCGGAAACCCACCAGTACCACTGGAATTAAAATCATTATTACAAGCTAACCGTTTTGAATCTAGCTATGGCAAGCAGATAGTTTTGACCACTGGCAGAATAAGTTTTTTTTAATATAATTATTTTGGATCATTTTTAACTTAAAAAAGTTACAGACTGGAGCTTTAAAGAAAAAACGCTTAAGCAAAACATGGTCAGGTCAAAGTGCCAAATTTGTATACATTTTACTGGTAGTCCACTGTATGAAGAATTTTTGGGTATAATATGTCATGTTTACTTTATTTTGCTATCCTCACTTACATAAAAAAAAAAAAAATCTGGTCTCTGAATAATTTTTGGTTTGACTGTACATTTTAGCTTTCTGTTTTTCCCAACTGTACATACCACAGGTTTCCTAACTGTATTTGCTATTTAGTCATACCTATGCCTGAATTTGCACACCCACAGAAAGCTCAGCAGATTTCCATAGAATTCGAATGGATTCTACACATCCCCTGCACGTTTATTTAATATTTTAGCTGGTGTCAATATGCGATATCATTTTTAACACACCCTGCCAAATTATAGAATTTACATGAATAGTTAAAGGAAAAAAAGTCCATATTTAGTGTGATCCTTGTGACAAGACCCTATTCGACTTGATCAAATAGGTAGCGATTTTTACATTTTAGAAGTGCAAGTCAGAATTAAGAAACCTATGCAGCTCGTAGTTTTTTGAGCGAGCAACATACTACTTTTTTTGTAGTGGGACTGTTTTCTTTGAACTGCTGCACCTTCAGTTTTTACTGAAATCTCACAGATCAGATCAGATCAGATCAAACGCACAGTCAAAGAATGATGTCTGCTCTTATATGAGATTTCCTTTGCTCGTTTTGGAGCTCCTATGAGCCTGAAACTCAGATTTGTGAAACATCGAGCTAAAACAAAACGAGTACCTAACGCGCTGAAAGTATTCAATGGTAGTTTGTATGAAGACATGGACCCACATTCATTGCTTTAAATGAGACTGAACATAACAATCAAGCAAATTGACTCTGAAAGGAAGTGTGTGCCTTCTCTTGTGCCTTCTGCATACTCCTAAAACCATGGTTTCATGGTTTGCGAACAGTCGAAGAGCGTTGCTTGTGTGCATTTCAAAATGAAAATCAATTGACCACTCCTGAAATGTCTCAAAGCACTTGGTCTCACCACAATAATAATGGGGAAGTGTAATCACCACAATAATAATATGATTGTGCCAATGATGATTGCACAGCATGTTGACTACAGGGAAATAAGGGGGATGTTAATTTGAGTTTTGTTTGGAAAAGTGATCTAGACACTAGAATGCGGTCCACAATGAACATGTGTGAAGGCATTGATCCTTGAAATGTTTTGTGGTTTTAGCAGGATTCCCATGGTCTTTGAAGACTTGAAATGTGAGGGAATTTTAAAATTGTGACTTCCAGGTCTTGGAATTCTGAGCGGCAGAATGTTTCATACCCTCAAAATGGTGGGGAATATATATATATATATAGCATACACTACCAGTCAAACGTTTTGAATCTTTAATAAAAAACATTAAAGATTTTTAATGTTTTTTAAAAAAAGTCTCTTCTGATCACCAAGGCTGCATTTATTTGATTACAAATACAAAAAAAAACCCAGTAATATTGTGAAATATTATTACAATTTAAAACGTCAGTTTTCTATGTGAATATATAGTAAAGTGTAATTTATTCCTGTGGTCAAAGCTGAATTTTCATCATCATTACTCCAGTCTTCAGTGTTACATGATCCTTCAGAAATTATTCTAATATGATGATTTGATGCTCAAAAAACATTTCTCATTATCAATGTTGAGTATCAATGATTTATCAACAGTTATTTACATTTTTATTCAAGGATTCTTTGATGAATAGAAAGTTCGAACGAACAGCATTTATCTGAAATTGAAAGCTTTTGTAACATTAAACACTACCGTTCAAAAGTTTGTGGTCAGTACGAATTTTTATAAATTTTTTTGGGGGGAAATAAATAAAAGAAATCAATACTTTTATTCATCAAGGATGAATTAAATTGATCAAAAGTTTCAGTAAAGACATTTATAATGTTACAAAAGATTCTATTTAAAATACATGTTGTTCTTTTGAACTTTCTATTCATCAAAGATTCCTGAAAAAAAAAATTTGTACACAACTGTTTTCAACATTGATAATAATAATGCATGTTTTTTGAGCATCAAATCAGCATTAGAATGATTTCTGAAGGATCATGTGACACTGAAGACTGGGGTAATGATGCTGAAAATTCAGCTTTGATCACAGGAATAAGTTACATTTTAAAATAAATTTAAATTGAAAACATTTATTTTAAATTGTCATAATATTTAACAATATTACTGTTTTTTGTATTTTTTGTATTTTTAATCAAATAAACACAGAAGAGCAGAAGAGACTTCTTTTAACCCTCTGGGGTCCTTCGGCCCAAATGGACCCGAAGCATTTACATTATTTATTTATTTTAAAGCTCCAGTCCGTAACTTTTTAAAGTTAAAAATAATCCAAAATAATTATATTAAAAAAAACGTATTCTGCCAGTGGTCAAAACTTTCTGCTTGCCATAGCTAGATTCAAAACGGTTAGCTTGTAATAATGATTTTAATTCCAGTGGTACTGGTGGGTTTCCGCGGGAAATTCGAGCATGTCATTACGTCACACCCGTACACATAAAGAAGGAGTTTCGGCTAGCCGGCTATACTGCGCGTGACGAGATGTTTAGATGTATAGGCTTTTCTCGCAGCACTTTACATAATTAAACTTATGGCATCCAGAAAGATCCAAACAACAATCATCAGTGTCAACTGGAGATTCAGCAGTTATAAAACCCAAAAGACTTCGTACTTCGGATTTAAGGTGGCTAGAGAAAGAGAAAGAAACAGTCTCATGCGAACACAAGGATTTAAACATCGGCGGGGCTTTTGAAAAGTGCGTGAACTCCGTGTTTTGAAGGGGTTCGAAACGGAAGAAGAGACGGCCTTTTTCTGCTGAACAAGTAAGACATTTCAATAGTTCAATCGTGTAACAGTACGTTTTCTTAATTCACACAGTTATGGAGTTTCCTTTGTTGTGCCTTTCTCGTTTTGCTATTATGGAGAATATGAATTCTGAACTACGCAGGTAACCATAAAACACATTAAATTTAACATTAGTCACGCAATGCTGATGTTGTTAACATTAACAATTTGAGAACATAGTAGGCTATAATTTGCACGGTTGCTGTAAATCATGTTGATTAAATCTAACGAAGCTTATCATGTCGAATGCTTTTTCCCCCTTAGTTGGTCAGAACAAAAATGGATTTTACTTACTTGTTCAGAAGACATTTTCTTATGAAAATTCTTATGTTGGTCAAACTTTCAAAAAGTGAATCTGTGATTCTGTATGCCAGTATCCACACAGCGCGGTGACTGACAGCAGCACTCGCCTCAAAGCACTGTGTTCATCCGCGCTGTTTCATGCCGATTTACTACCCACGTAAAGATGATAATTCCGCGAATCACTGCAGTTACAGATTTCGAACAGAGAGATGGCGACAAAGAGGAAAAAATACGGACTGCAGCTTTAAATCATAGCTTTATCGCAATTGTCCGAAATTTGGTGACTTTGTTGGTGCTTGGTATATGAACACCCAAAAAAATTGGGGACAGGATTTGAATAGTCTAAGTGGTTGTAAAAAAAATAGTCACACTCAGGACCTTCGGGTCCAAATGGACCCGCATAGGAAATGAATGGGAAATTGGCAAAAAATGTGAAAATACAGAGTTATTTTGTGTGTACAATCTACAAATCAGCCACGATCCAGAAAAAAAGCACACAACAGTGAAGGGGTGAATCTATAAAACATCAAGAGTGCAAAACAGACACATCCACACACACACACACACACACACACACACTTTTATACACATACACACTAATAAATTCAGATTACATATGGGTTTTGAATTTTTAAAATGCTCAATTTGTCCACCAGATGGCATCCATCTCATTTCAAAAATTGCTTTCATGAGGCCTAGGCTTGTCTCTAAAATGAAATACAGCTTTAAAAAAAAGTATATAAAAAAAAAAAAAAATCTATTATTTTCAATGGGGAAAAAATGGGTCATAATTATTGCATTAATATTAATTATAAATCATTTTTATTTTTGAAATTGTCTCAAAACACCAAAAAAGAAAAGAAAAAATATTATAAAAAACAAGTAAAAAATAAATAAATGATTTTTTTAAAAATAAATATTAATCCCACCCTTCCGGCCCATTTGGACCCGAAGGTCCTGAGTGTGACTCTGAAATGAAGGATCCCAGAGGGTTAAAAACATTAAAAATCATACCGATCCAAAACTTTTGAACGGCAGTGTATATCAATCTTTCCTCTCACCGTTTTGGTTTATGTTGGAGCCACGGCCGGCTCTGTCCTCTACCGCCCCTCACTCGAGTAATTGCTTTGAGCAGAGGGAGGGATGGGTAGGGAAGTCAGATTGGCTTGGGTGACTGGCCAAATTATATGCTCGGCGGGACAAGACATGTCCTGCAAAGACACCAGGGGCTCCAGTATTAATATTCATGCCTTTGCACACTTGTTTAGCTTACCGCAATGCAGATCACAATCAGACACTCATACACATGAGCCCACATACACCTTTTTAAAGAATGACACAAATATGCATATTGCAGGATGTGATCAGATGTGTCTTGTTTGTTCCCCAGGTGAACGGGCAGTGCGCAGGACACACCGCCATGCAGGCAGCCAGCCAAAATGGACACGTGGACGTCCTCAAACTGCTGCTGAAACATAATGTAGACCTGGAGGCTGAGGTTTGTACTTTCCCCTTGCTTTATCCGGCTCCTGAATCACCTCTGCTTCTCTGTTGCCTGTTTTACCCCCCCCCCCCCCAAAGATTATTGCATTTAGAACAGGCCGAATATGCTGTCATTTGACTGCTTGCATTAACCCACTTAGATCTTGCTTTTCACAGTTCAAACACCGTTAAGCAGAAGTTCTTGTCAAAAGTAGACCTCATGGAGCTAGCTGAAGGTGCAGTAAGAGATTACTGAGAAACACTGTTGGTATTCGAGATCAACCCAATCAAACGCGCCCCTCTCTTCATTGCTCCGCCCCCAAAATGCAGAACTGCTTTATAGAGGAATTGAACTAATTTAATAATTGGTGATCTTTACAGAGGAACTGAATCAACACTAAATTGTCTTCAGCTTTACAGTTGAATTGAACCGTTTCTGTTGTCGCTGTAAAGCTGCTTTGTAACGATCTGTATTGTATAAACGCTATAAAGATGACTTGACTCGGCCCCCCCCCCCCCCCCCCCCACAATCCACTTTTACAGCGTTTCTCAGAAATCCTTAAACCAGCATATAGAAATACCACTTCTTCTGGCGGTGTGACTCGTTGGATTGAGTGAAATGTTTCCTTGTGTGTCCGTTTAATGTGCTAGGATAAATGTTAGATACTGTTCCGCCAGTAAAGCCACAAAACAAATGCTAAAATACTGTCCTATTCCAACTTTATATAGAGACAGCTATGAAATAAGCCATTTGTTGGTTGATTCCTCTGGAAAGTGCAGACACTATGTCTCTATTAAAAGATTACTATTTTTAGCATCGCATCCAAGTATCAGAAACATGCATCATAATAAAAAATCAAATCTGCTGTTTAACAGTTTCTCATATTTTTTTTATTTTTTTTTAAGGAATATTTCTGTATTTAGTTATACAAAGGCTATTATCTTCTACAGATGAACCTTGCTCTGTAGGGAAAAAAAGAACACACACACACACACACACACACACACACACACACACACACACACAGCAGTGTTTTAACCGAGTGTCTATTTACACTAAGTGTAAATAGCCTGTCTTGTTGGCAAAGGTTATTTACTCTAACTCCACCCTCCAATGTCTGGTTGGGCAAAAAGACACTCACCACTCAACGTCTGCTGTGGCGTAGGGAATATAGCGCGTGGAAGTAGCTTTTGACTCGATCGACCCAAGTTCAAACTCGCTCTTCTTCCTTTTCCCATCACATATCAGATCAGAAAGGCATTATTTTAGAAAATATTTGAAAAGTGGATATAAAGTGCCTTACAAGTGTTTAGTAATAGTGTTTATCAGGGGTAGGTGTTGGGAAGGCTTTATTGTCCCAATAAGACGGCATCCATTTACATGAATAATCATTTACACTCTGTTTATTATTGCATCCTGTTTATGTACAACAATACTGAGGTGCAAATGGTATGTATAAATAGCATCTAACAACTATTTGCACTTACTGCAAAGAACTGCTACTTTTACACAGTGTAAATAGAATGTATCGCTATTAGTATTTTCACTTAGTGTACATAGCATATCGCTAAGGAAAATGGTACTATTGACACTTAGTGTAAATAGCTTCTATTGCTTTTGTCACTTAGTGCAAATAGCCGCTGCCGCGTTTTAATCCATGGAGTGATTTTACAATTAACTTGGACTGATGAAATTACATTATTGTAATAGGAGTGCTAAGTGAAATATGTCTGTTTATATTTAAGTACAAAAGTACTTAAACAAATAAGTACTTCAGAGGCATATTGAGAGAAAGTTACTGAACCTGGATTGCCGTGTTATGAGGATAAGTTAACGTTAGCGTGCAGTCAGCACATCTACTGTTTGATTATGTGCAGGGAGGGGGAAAAACGGGACACTGGGAACACTAACATTGCTATTCAAGCCACGTGAAGGGTTCTCCGCTCACAATCACAATCAAGCCCGGATATTTATTTCCTGGTGATGTTTCAGGGGCAGAAAAGATCATACATGCTGCTGTGAATGCTGTTAGCTTTGTTACATTTTAAACCATTGATATAAACTTCCACAAATCACTTTTCCCCCCATTTCACTGGGTTTGTTTGGTTGTCTGTTAGGAATTGTGAGCGGCAGCAACATATAATATTAATTTACACCTTCATGAGATTTAAATAAATATATATTTATATTGGCAAATATTACTTAACAAAATTCAAATATACTAATTGTATATTACTAAACAACGGCTATATACAAGCAAGGCACCCTGTTAAAATTCTGCAAAGTCATTCACTTAAACATTGGAGGGGTTGTGCTCATTTTAACCAGTGTTATGTTAGTATTATTTCTATACTGTTATAGGATTTATTATTTAGTTAGAGCTTATATTTTATTTTTAGTGATTTTGTGCTTTTTGTCATTTTTAAGTTTAAAAACAAAACGTGTAAGATAATGTTCATTTCAGTTTTAGTTTATACATTAAACTTATTTAACTTGAATTTATGTCTTACAGTCAGTTGCCGAGGAAACATTTCTAATATTAGTTAGAATTATTCATATTTTTAGTTATACATAACAATAACAACACTGATGTTAACTTTTCCTGGCTGAAATCCTAGTCCCTTTATAGGATGTTTTATGGTTTAAAGGATGTTTGTATTTCTGAGGAGAAAAGCAGTTTGGGCTTCTTGCCACAGTCAGTTGGAGGAATGAATAGATTATTAGGCAAAGGTTAATTTATGGCTGCAGATCACTTTTAACCTCAAATTAATTAGCCAGAAGATTTGCATCATTATAAGGCGGTTGCTTCAGTAATGACTGCGTGTCCATAAACATTCCTCAGCGTTTTGACTTTTCTAGGCCAGTTCTAGTTGTAAAGGCTTTCGAGTCAGAGGCTGGTGTTTAAATGGGGATGCTGACAGTGATTGATGTGCGACTCTTTCAGGATAAGGATGGAGACCGAGCTGTCCATCACGCGTCCTTCGGGGACGAGGGCTCCGTCATTGAGGTTCTGCAGCGAGGCGGGGCCGACCTGAACGCCAGAAACAAACGCAGACAGACGCCCCTGCACATCGCTGTCAACAAGGGCCACCTGCAGGTGGTGAAGACTTTGCTTGACTTCGGCTGCCACCCCAGTCTGCAGGTGAACGACCTCTCCAAGTGTTTTTAGCCCACCGGTGTCTCAGTACCTCTCAGTTTAGAGAGTGAACTCTCGTCCTTGCTTCGTCTTTCTGTGACGCTTTCAGTCACATCATTTGAGCTAAAGCTAGGCAGTAGCTTCTTGTTGTGCTTGTACACTATTGGTCAAAAGTTTTATATAATATATATATATATATAGCCTAGTAAAATCCACATTATGTTTAATTTGAGTTTTTTTTTTTTACCTTTTAAGGCGAGACACGACAGGCAAAAACATAGTTTTTTTTTTCACTGGTCAATTTTGAGATTTCGGGATATTTGTCTTCAAAAACATGTCTTCTTTCAGACTTGTGGTGGAAAAAAAGTCCGAAATACACATTTACGTCTTTATTTTACTGCACTTTGTCTGTTTGCGTCTGTAGATTTCTCATAAATTCATCAAAAGTTGGCGATCTAACTCACCCGTTGCTCCGCGATCGCGATCTGCACCCTGTCATCATCACACACACCGTTAGAAAGCTCTCTCTCTCCTGTACTATGCTGTCGCATCCAAATATGGTCATTTCCTTTTTATCAGCAACCAATCGTGAAAGTAAAAGGGCGCAAATGCGCAATCTCATTGGCTGATGGTAAATCTTTAAAGCCCATTTTCTCAAAATGACTTTTCTCTCATACTCAAAGTCCGAAATCTCCACTTCGGTAGCACCTATACACACCAAACTTTAAAGTCTTGTACCTAGTTTGATTATGAAGACATTTAAAGAGGGATTTGTAAATTTATTATTCCTAGCCCGATTTATATAACATTTTATTCCAAAAAAAAACATGGCAAAAATATATTTTTTAAGGCTATTGACAGTATATTCTGATTTATAGGATAACAAAAGTAGATATCCATAAATCCCTCTGTAATTTTTTCCCCATCTAATATGTGAACACAATGAAAAAAGAATTTTGAACCTGGCTTTATCCAATACTCAGATTAGCGCATATTTAATTAGATAATGCCTAATTTGCATATTTAAACATTAAATTACAGAAAACTTGTAATACATTTTTTCTCATCTTAATGTAGAAAACCGGGAAAAGTTTCATGGTGATATCTGCTAGTTAAAAAAAATTACCCTATTCACCTGTAGTGTCTCGCCTTAATAATAATACAGGCTCTGTATGTTTACAGCATTAGGCAAGATACTTTTTTATTAACATGCATCTACTGTTAGGCTCCCTAATATTTATCCAAATGAATCCGAATTGAATCAAGATCGGAATCATATCACAAGATTTGAACTGAAATCGTGAAATTTGTATCAAACAATAATAAAAACAGTAGCCAACCAGTCACTGTACCATGTAAACATTGTAACATGTTGTCACTAAACTTAACAAAATTCTGTTTAGTTACCAAATGTTTTGACAATCACAATACACTCACACCAAAAATGATCCACAGACTGAGTTTAGACAAAGCATATGTTACATCCTGCTTAAATGTGTCTGCTTGTCTGGAAAGAAATGTTCAAATTATATTTTTTTCATGAGCATACAAATTATTTTATACTATTGTACTATTGAGACGATAACAAGTTTGCAGTAAAAAAAGATGTCATTATTTCATTTTGTGAAAAATATTATTTTAATTTGAAAACACTGTGCATTAAGTTGGTTGTTGCTAGTTTGAGTTGAGAAATACACATTTCAGCATTATCACTAATCTGTGTGTGCATTTTCCAAGCAAGTTGACTGTTTATTATATCGCAATCGCAATATTGACCTCAATAGTCGCAATATGACATTTTACCCAAATCACGCAGCCCTAATAAATATATATATAGAGAGATTTGTAGGATAAAAATTCTGAATTTCAGGAATAAATTACTTTTTTAAATACATTGAAATGGAAAACAGTACATTTTAAATTGTCATATAATTTCACAATATTACTGTTTTTACTGTATTTTGATAATATAAACACAGCCTTGATGAGCATAAGAGACTACCTTCAAAAACACAAAAAAATATATTATTGATAATTTACATTTGATGAAGGCCATTGGCAGATTTTAGACAATAGTTCAGTAATAGTTATTGGCCGATGCTGAAAATCTCAAAATATCAGCCAATTTTTGCCTGATATTTTGCCTATAACTGATTTTAGCAATGAGGTATTGGCTTGATTTATATCGGTTCATATCTTTTATATTTTGTAGAAAGTTCAGTAAATATTGTCGTCTCAATAATGATTGACGCAGTTCTTTAACACTGTCTTACATTTCAGTTTTAGCTCCCAGTAAAATGTTTGGTTTGGTTTTCATAAGCAATTGCCATAATTTTGAAACCTTTATTTGATTAGTATGCTGTTTATACTGCAGACTAGACAAATATATGATAAAGAGATGCCGCTTTCCCGGGTGATTAACACTGCGGCACACATTTTTTCCTCTATTCAGCAGTGAAACAGTATATTGCAGTTTTACCGTGATTCAGCGCTGCTTGGTTGCCTGCATTTCTAAAGCTCAGGAAATGCCGTCACACTAAACATTGCAATGGGATGCCAGCATTGATGATCATGTTAGCATTTCTGTGGTAACATCACAGCCTCTTTTATTCTCGGTCTGTGTAAATAAACCTGCTAGGCATTATATTAGCGTGTGTAACTTGAGGCTGCCTCCTACAGGACTCGGAGGGAGACACACCGTTGCATGATGCCATCAGCAAGAAGAGGGATGACATGCTCTCTGTGCTCCTGGAAGCAGGTGCAGACGTCACGATTACCAACAATAACGGCTTCAACGCGCTTCACCACGCGGCTCTGCGAGGGAACCCCAGGTATGACTTCAGATGTGGCATAACTGAAATCGGGCTTCTGGTTAGTGACAATTATGCAGCTCTGAATTTATTCAATGGTTTCAGCTCATATCTGGGACCTGTACAGGTCTAATTTGAGATGTGTGAACGCAAAAGAAATCATTTCATCTTTTCCGCAGCCCATTTACCATTGTAATTTCACAAGTGGGGATGCCCACTCACATACAAACTACAGTAGGCACTTTGATTGCTATTGTCCTAGTAGCTGTAGAGGATTCTGTGCAGAATGTGTTGGATTTAAGACACTACTGTCATCATCTTCCTCTTTAACACACACTTTTCTTGCTATCAGCCTGAATGTCCAGATCAAGGAGTCAAAATAGGCCTTGTGGTTGTTTTAACTCTTTTCATGCATGTCGTTTCCTGGATCGATGGCAAACTTTTCCCACTCTTTTTTTTTGTTCTTACTTTTTTCATGGAATGGGAGAGTAATTCCTTCTGGGTGGAATTTGAAACTTGTTGAACTTCTTTGAGCTGTAAATTTAGCTTTTTTAAATATAACTACTGATTTGAGAACAAAAAAAAAATGCACGTTAGAGGCTTTACAAAAACATTTGTTTTAAAGGGATAGTTCACTTTGAAATACATTTTTGATATGTTTTAGCTTACCTCAAGGGCATCCAAGATGTAGGTGTCTTCGTTTCCACAGTAGTTTCAATTTTGATATTCAAACCGCACAGACTTGGACGTGGCTGTGGTTACAAGAGGTAAAAACGATATAAATACTGTTCGTTTTCTCACACAAACCGCTCGTTTCGTGTCTTAGGCCATCAATGTGTACTTACATTTACGAGTCATTAAATCATGTTTAATTTGGACTTCTCTGTGCATGCTCTTTGAGGTGGTGACCATAGACCTGCATTATATGACTGACAGACAAGAACGGTTTGACCTTAAAATATCAAAATTGAAACTACTGCGGAAACAAAGACACCTACATCTTGGATGCCCTTGAAGTAAGCTAAAACGTACCAAAAATTAATTTCAAAGTGAACTATCCCTTTAAGATGGTTATTTATATCTTATGCTTTAGTGTGCCAAACATTTCGATTTTTAAACATTCCTTCTGCAAATATTCTAATTAGGGCTGTCACAATTCCTCGATTAAAAAGAAAAAATCCTCCATTGTAATTTAACCTTATCAATTAACCGGCAAAATACCGGAAGTGGCACAAATCACGATGAACAACAGTTCGCATATTTAAAAAAAAAAAGTTTAAACCCTCCCTCTGAGTTTGCATGTTTTGATGTTCATGGTTAAGAAATTACAGTGGCTGGCTGTAGCATTTCTATTGTGAAGAAGTGCCAAATATTAAGTGGATGTTTGAATTAAATGTTGTTTGGCCAATATTAAACAAGGATTTGATCATGCTGTAAAGTGTAACAACAACAAACCGCTTGCGCCCTCTGCTAGCATTGGTTATAATATGTAATGTACATAAGTTGATTGTTTATATAATGTATATTACATTATGTATTTTAACAGTGTTGTTCAATAAAACCATGATTACATGCTTTTGATACTTTATCTGAACCATTTATTATTGCCTCAGGGTTATTATACCTATGTATTTAAGTCATTTTAATGGTTATCGTTCACTTAGGTCTATTTTTTTAATTACCACATAAAAAATGATCCGATTAATCGTCAAAATAATCGACTGGTTACTCGATTGCCAAAATAATCATCGGTGACAGCCCTAATTGTAATAATCCAGTGATATTTTTGTATGAACGTCCTACAACATTAGATTATTCTACCGTTTGCAAGCTTCTTGGAGAATTTGCCACAGTTCTTTTATGGATTTAGACAACTCAATTGCTTCTGTCTCTTCATGTGACTCTGTGAGATCAGATCTCTTGTCTGGGCCAAACTTTCTGTTCGTAGGAATCCAAGTTGAAATAAAAATCTGGATTATTACAATATTTGCAAATGGATTGTTTGTAAACCTAAAAGTAAGATTTCCTATTGATACACTAAAGAAAATGATATAAATAACCATTTAAAAAATATGATTGTGAAGCATCTAATCTAGTAATAAGACTTTATATATACAAAGTATCACAGATGCTCAGTGTATATAGTATTATAGTAATAATACAGAGCCCTTTATTAATAAAGGATTGATTTGGTGCACCTTTGTGCAGTGCAAAATTGTTGTACAGTTCAAGTTACAAATCCCTCAGTGAAATGATCAATCTTGACTTCAATCTCCCAATGGCAACACGGGGATCCTTTTTTATTGACCGTGCGGATGAAGAACTGCCCCGGGTCGGTATTTATGGCTCGCTTGTACAGTAGAGCCTTGCTTAGGAGCAGAACCTGTCCCTTCACCATCCGAAAGTCCTAGAGATATATAGCTCTCCTCCAGCTCACCATTTATTTGTATTTCTTGCATGAGCTCGCGCCGCTGCGGTCTTCTTCTCAGCACTCTTTCTTGTGCCGAAGCTACTTCTAGTCCAACCCTGGAGAATAGACCTACGCATGCATTTACTAGGTCTGAAGACTTTTACTTGCACTCTGCTTTAAAACATTACATTTTCTTAATTTAATCCACATGCATTTCTTAGGGCTTGTCTAATTGGAGACATTTGTACATGTAGCAATAATAATAATACTCATAATTTTAACAAATTCAAAAGACAATTCTTACATGAGACGCTATTTTTTTTTATCCTGCAATGCAGTATTGTCCACTCTTTCATAATATTCCGGTTAATATTTTAAGTAACCCGGTGAATATTTAAAACCAGTAGGTAGCAGCCTGTGTCCTCTTGCACCATTTTAACCAGCTGTTGAATTTAATCACAGAACTCTTTTTCATCCTTGCATGTTCTCCTAAAGTCTTTAACACACTGATGTACATCCATCGCTGCTTTCTCAATTGTTTTAGCCTCGGTGGGCTTCAATGATGGCTGGGTGAAAAGTAAAGTACAGTCATAATCTTAAAAAAAAAAAAGGAATTTTAAACATCCAGACTAGTGCTGTCAAACGATTAAAATATTTAATCGCGATTAATCGCATTAATGTCATAGTTAACTCGTGATTAATCGCACATTTTTATCTATTCTAAATGTCTATTTTTGTCCCATTATTTTTTTCTAATTTTAATGCTCTTATCAACATGAAAAAGTGGATCGGCTTGCTTTGTGCAAATGTTTTTTATTGAAAACAACATTGACAATATTGTGTTCAATTTCACACTAAAACATTTTCACTTGGAGCAAATAATCTCTCACACAATGTAACACTGGCCCTCAATAAAAGGTGAAAGAAATACTGACGAGGTCCTGATATTGACGAGGGAGCGGAGAATTTGCATCAGCTGTGTGTGTGTGTGTGTGTGTGTTTGTGTGTGTGTGCTTGGCCATCAAGTGGTGTTTCAGACTGGACGTGCTGCGATGATGAAAGCTCAGTTCACAACGACAAAACACACAGATCACTTTGGTCTTGTCAATGGAACCATTTGGCAACTTTTTAAAAGTAAACTTTCCATTCAGAATCTTATTGGCATCCATTTCGGCGTCTCGCGCTCGTCACCCACTCAAAACGTAACTTTAACCTACTATTTGGCCGGCTCGCAACAAGTGTGTTTCCGGTCTAGCTAGATCCGGTGCTTTCAGAAAGGACGCGGAATGCGCGGCGCTACGCCAGTTTTCAAAACTTTTTGGATGCCAAAACGTTTCTATTGGCCGCGCTGGTAATCGTCACAACGGCAAAAGTTGAACTATTTTGAATTTTGACCGTGGTGTGCGCTGCTGCTCTTGTGCTTTGGTCGACGAAGCAACGAAACGTCCTTGTGCGGCGCAAGCCATTGAAATGAATGGGTTTCATAGCGCCGCGCATGCCGCGTCCGGTTGCAAAAGCATGTGAAAAAAAACAAAGTTTGCATGGCTAAAAAGACTGTTAATCGCGCAATAAAAAAATTTATCGCGTTAAAATGGGTTTGCGTTAACGCCGTTAATAACGCGTTTAACTGACAGCCCTAATACAGACGAATTAGACAAACTTGTTGGACTGTCACACACCGTCTTGGTATGTGCACTTGATTCTTTAAATTCGCACTACTTCGACAGTTACCATAACTCTGTGAAACATTAAACCACTGGTTGGTTATGGCTTTTTCTATGTAGTATTTTTTTTATTTCAATTCTTATTGAATATTCATCGAATAATCCCCATATCTATACATTGTGAGTTTGCACCCTAGGGTTGTCGTAAGTGCTCATAAATTAGTTTGTATTTTCCTCCTCCTCGTGTGTTTATGACAGTCCCAGGATGAGAGCAGGACTGGCTCGTCTCAGTGGCTCTCTGGATGGCTGCTGGAAGGCAGTTGTGCTCCAGCACTGTAAACAGTACAGTTAATAGCCCATGACTCATAACACTGTCCGCAAACAGCCCATCCAGAGGCAGCCACTGCATAAGCCCCTATTACTACTGTACAAACGGGCCAACCTGGTTGTTCACCGCCACGTGGAGTCCCACCCTCAAATGCTGCCTCTATTACAGCTGCTTAGTTCGAGGCTTAGCCAATAGTCCCATCTAATGCTGCCAGTGGAGCCCGGTGTGATAGGAACAGGATTTGGCACTAATAAAAATGATTGGTCAATGAGGTGTTTTATATGTCTGTAGAGAATATGTAGAATATGAAAGCCAATGATCAGCACAGATTATTATAGGCTGTTTGCGCCTCTGCTGTAGATCCATATTGTCAGGTGCATTACCGTTTACTTTTTTGTAAAAATGAAGTAATGGTAACATTTTGAGCCAATCATTGAATTTATTTATAGAGACCTGGGTCAGAGTTGGTCTTTTTCGTCTTGTGGTAGTTAACAAAAAAAAATTTATTTTTATTTTTCTGACTGCAATATTTACTTAAAAGTCAAATTTATTTTTCCTAATAGTTATTATACATGCAGTTTTTGGGTCAATGGCAGGGATTTTTTTATTATTCAAAAAT